CCATTGTATTTAGATTCTTAAAACTAAAGGTACATTCTTTTTCAAGAAATTCTTTATTTTACATATTTTTCAATCATTTGTTTAATTTCATCATCTTCTTTTAAAATTACCTGTGAATTACTACTTACAAAGATACAACCAAGGCATATATTCACTTCAAATAAAATTTTTGAAAAATTCATGGTTAATAAATAAAATTTATTTTATAAACTAATTAGACTTAAACGTAAATCAAAAATAATAAAAAAATCTTTCAAATATTAAATTAACATTTAGTTTCTAATAATTAATATTTTAAAAGTAAAAAAAATTATTGAAAATATGAAAATAGAATTAAAAATTAAGATCTCATTTAACTATTTTTATTTTTAAAGCCGATTATTATTTAAAAACTATTTTGAGTGAATAATATAACAACAAGATAAAGTCTTTCTCGATTTAAAGTTTTAATTTTAGTTATAAACAAGCTAAAAAAAATTTTATTTAAAATAATTTTCTTTTTTTTTAACATTTATTGAACTTACTTCTTTTTATAAAAAACAAATATAAATGTTAAAGCAGTAAATTGTAAGTACTTTTGTTATCGTTTATATAAATCTTCTTATGTACTCCTAATAATATGTTGATCATTGTCATTGTGACATCTTACGTCACTACGGATTAATTTATAAACCAATCATTTAATGATTGATCAATTCCCCCTATATAAATATTTAAAGAAAATCCCTTTTAAATAAAATGATGATTACAACAAACAAATCTTTAAAACATTTAACACGTGAACAGTCCTTGAACCGTGTAAGGAATATTACAACGCATACCTTCTACTGCATGGGGTATGACAGTCACTTAAAAAATTCGTTGTTATTAGTTTATAAATAGAATTTATAAGGGCAAAGAATTGATCAAAATTTAATATAAAATATTCTTTTTTAAATGACGGTACGACAATCAGTATTCACATTTTTAAAAACTTCTCCAATATTTTATATGATAACTAATTTATTAGTAGTTAGTATACTAATAAAAAGTTATTTTATTATTACTTTATGTTATATTTGATTAATTTAACATAACATTTATCAAACAAATAATAATTTAATCTAAATGGAATGTATGATTCGAAAGATTTTATTTTATAAAATAACATTTATATTCTTAAGAAGATATAAATACAGAACAATTTAATAAAACTTATTTTAAAAAAAGATTTAAGGAAAATAAATATTGAAATTTATTAAGCAACTATTGTAAGGAATAAAAATTTAATGTTTTTTAACAATAAATGCAAATAATTATAAAATAATTGACAATAAAGTTAAAAAAAGTTAATTATGAAAAATCTAGATATAATTTAAAAATTCAAGCAAGAAGAAAACTAAATTTATTTGTTAAATCATATCATTTTGTTTGAAATTTACACTTAAATAAAGAGGTTATAATTTTTTAGTTATAATGAAAAAACATCAAATCAGAAATAAGGAAAAAGTATGTCAGAACAACTTTTGATAATATAAACATAACTGGTATTAATTTTAATAAAATAAGTGAATTTTAAGGCTAAATTAATTGTAAATATATAAAATATTAATTTTATTATTGCATTTGAATTAAATATTTTTATGTTGATTTTTTCGATATTGAAATATTAGTTTTCTACATTAACGACGATAATACTGAGAACTTCTTTCTTTAGTTTAATCACAATCTTTTTTTTCTAGAAACATTCAAAAAATTTAAACTTTGAAAAAATGTGAATAAATACAAGGTTGTTAATAAATTGATACAGTCTTATTGTATACTGGTTTAAATTTGTTTTTTATTTTGGCACGTAATATTTTTGGAAAATACTAAGTTAACTATCTGGTTTGTCTTTATTATTAAAACCTCAAAACTATTATATTGTTGTATTTTTAAGATGTATTTTAGGGATAAAACGTTTTTTATATATAAATCATTTTATAAAACACAAATTTATTTAATGTACAAATGAAAAAAAACAAAAATTATTTATTTAATTAAAAACTTTGATAGTTTAAATAATTATTTTATGATTTATTGCTGTTAAAACATATAAATATATTCTGATGCAAACTAAAAACATTTAAATATTAAAAAACAATCAATCTCATTTCTATTATCAAATACATTAATTAATATTTATTAAAATTTAAATAGTTCTAGAAATTAGAAAAAAACTCTTTTTTTAAATCACTAATAAATTTGTATACTTGATTTAAATACATTAATTACGTTTTTTATTCTAATAAAAATCTAATTTACTGTTTTAACTTGTATTTATTCTTAAAAACTTTATATTAAAAAATTATATCAGAATCTTTAATTGATAGTGTAGATTTTATAATCTATACATTTTTATGAATGTTTTGTCAATCTAAATTTGTTGATAGCATGTCCATTGGAAAACATCTTTTTACTATTTCTAAACGTGTTTGTTCTTTTTTAAATATTCTAAAAATTCAAGACAATTATTTTTTAATATCGCGGTTTAATTTAAAGATTGCTTATTATTTTTTTCACAGTTTAGAATCAAATACTATATTAAATCACCTAAACGGTATAATATAAATCTCTTAAAATT